AAACCATTGGCCACAGCTCAGAAATTTCTTCCAAGTTCTCCCGCATTGGGCAATGAAAGAACCATGAAAATGCTCTAGAAATTAAAGAAGGAGGCAGTGCAAAGGCCTGAGGAAGAAATGAACATGCTGTGTTAAAGGAATGCCAAGAAGGCCAGTATGGCTGCAGTGAAATGGGGAGGGGGAGAAACTAGATGGGGGAGCCACTCTGTACACTATTACAAGGCCATTTAAAATTAGAAACAAAGACTCTGTACAGGAAGGAAGTAAGAAGGAAAGATAGGACTACAGAACAACCAGGAATCAAAGAACAATGTGGTAAGTAATATCATCCATACCTATTGATGGTAACATTGAAAGTGAATAAACTAAACTCTATAATCAAAGACATAGAGTGGCTGGATGAATAAAAAAACAAGAGCCAACGATCTATTGACTACAAAAAATCCACTTCACTTATAAGGACACATAGAGATGAAAACTAATGGGATAAAGGAAGATATTTGATGCAAATGGAACCCACAAAAGAGCAGGGGTAGCTATACTCCTATCAGACAAAATATATTTTGAGACAAAAAATATAAAAGAGAGAAAGAACATCTTTATGTAATGATAAAGAAATCAATTCGGCAAGATGATATAACAATTCTAAATATTTGTGCACTCAACACTGGAAAACCTGGATATCTAAAGTAAATATTACCAGAGCTACAGAAAGAGAGACCCAGATACAATAATTGTTGTAGACTTCAACACTCCACTCTCAGCACTGGACATACAATTTGGACAGAAAATAAACAAAGAAACACTGGACTTAATCTGCAATACAGACCAAATGGACTTAATGGATATTTACAGAACGTTTCATCCAATAGCTGCAGAACACACATTTTTCTCCTCAATTCATGGATCATTCTTAAGGATAGACCATATGTTAGGCCACAAAACAAGTCTTAAAAGACTCATAAAAACTCATAAAAATCATACCAAGTATTTTTTCTAGCCATAATGGAATAAAACTAGAATTCAATAACAAGAGGAACACTGGAAACTGTATGAACACATGGAAACTAAATGTGTTCCTGAATGACCAGTGGGCCAATGAAGAGATCAAAAAGGAATTTAAAACGTTTCTCAAAACTAATGAACATGAAAGCACAACATATCAAAATCTATGGGATACAGCAAAAGCAGTAATAAGAGGAAAGTTCATAGCAATAAGTGCCTATATCAAAAAAGTAGAAAAGCTTCAAATAAACAACTGAATGATGCATCTCAAAAAACAAGAACAAGAGCAAACCAAAACCAAAATTAGTAGGAGAAAAGAAATAAAATCAGAGCATAAATAAATAAAATTGAAATAAAACCAAATACAAAAGATAAACAAAATGAAAAGTTGGTTGGACAAAAACCATATGAGATTTTAATTAATACTCAAAACTTATTTTATAAAATTTAACCTCCATTTGTGACAAAAACTCAAAAAACTGAGTATAGAAGGAGCTCACCTCAACATTATACAAAGGCATATATGACAGAACCACAGCAGGTATCGCACTGATGGGGGAAAATTGAAAGCCTTTCCTCTAAGATCTAGAAGAAGACAAAACAGTGGTGCCCATTTTCACCACTGTTATTCAACATAGTGCTGGAAATTCTAGCTAACACAGTCTGACAAGAGAAAGAAATAAAGTGCATCCAAATTGGAATGGAAGAAGTCAAATTATCTTTTTTTTTTTTACAGAGGATATCATCTTTTATCTAGAGAAACATAAAGACTCCTCAAAAAACTATTAGTAGTGATAAACAAAATTCAGAAAAGTTCCAGAATATAAAATCAACATACAAAAATTAGTAGCATTACTTTATGCCAGCAGGAAACAATCTGAAAAAGAATCCAAGAAAGCAATTCCATGTATAATAACTACAAATAAAATAAAATACCTAAGAATAAACTTAAACAAAGAAGTGAAATATATCTATGATGAAAACTATAAGACATTGATGAAAGAAATTAATGATGACATATAAAAAAATGGAAAGATATTCCAGGGTCATGGATTGGAATAATTAATGCTGTTAAAATGTCCGTGCAACCCAAAGCAATCTACAGATTCAATGCAATCTGCATCAAAATACCAATGACATTCTTCACAGAAATATAAAAAATCATCCTGAGATTTACATGGAGCCACAAAACACCCAGAATAGCCACAGCCATCCTGAGCAAAAAGAACAAAACGGGGGGAAATCACATTACCTGACTTCAAATTATACTACAGAGAGCTATAATAACCAAAACAGCACTGTCATAGCATAAGAACAGACACACAGATTACTCGAACAGAATGGAGAACGCAGAAATAAATCCACACATCTATAGTAAACCTATCTTTGGTAAAGATGCCAAGAACATACAGTGGGGAAATGATGGTGATCTCTTCAACAGATTGTGCTGGGAAAACTGAATATCTGCATGCAGGAAAGACCATTATCTCTCATCATATACAGAAATCAAATCAAAATGAATTAAAGACTTAGATCTAAGATCTGAAACTATGAAACTGCTAAAAGAAAACATCGAGGAAATGCTTCAGGACACTGGTTCTTGACACTGATTTGGATGCCCAACCATAGGCATCCAAAGCAAAACTGGACAAAGGGGATCACAGCAAATGAAAAAGCTTCTTTGCAGCAAAGTAAATAATCAACAAAGGAAAGTGACAACCCACAGAATGGGAGAAAATGTTTGCAATCTCCCCATGTGACAAGAGATTAATAGCTAGAACATATAGGGATCTCCAAAAATGCAATAAGAAAAAAAAATCAAATAATCCAATTTAAAAATGGGCAAAGGATCTGAGTAGACATTTCTCAAAAGAAGACACACAAATGGGCAACAGGTGTATGAAACAACATTCAACATCATTAAGGATTAGAGAAATGCAAATCAAAACTACAATGAGATGACACCAGTTAAAATTCATTCATCAAAAAGACAGGCAATAACGAATGCTGGTGAGGATGTGGAGAAAGGGGAACCCTCATACATTGTTGGTGGGAATGTAAATTAGCCCAACCCCTATGGACAACGGTATGGAGATTCTTCAACAAACTAAAAATACAACTACCATTTGACCCAGCAATCCCACTGCTGGGTATATATCCAAGAAGAGCAGAATTCAGGATATAGAAAAGGTGTCTGCACTCCTCTGTTTATTGCAGAACTATTCACAATAGCCAAGATTTAGAATCACTGTCCAGCTATGAGGAGAGCTCACTCTCTCTGTCCCTCTGAGGCTGCTTCAAGTCCATGGTGTAGAAGCTTAGAACAGAGGGTGCTGGTGCCGTTGAGGATGGAGGTCAGGGCATCATGACCAGTGGCATTGGGCCTTCCAGTCCTGGGGCCAGAGGAAGGCACAAGCGCTGGGTAGTGGCGGACACCATGACCCGTGAGGCATAGATAGAAATGAAACCATAGTCATTCCAATATATAAGTGCCATCTGGAACATTGATGAACCTAATCTACTTATACATTAGCATGTGGAGTTTCCTGTGTATGTTCTGGTGATCTGAGAATGATATAGTATAGAATTTTAGTCTTAAATATAAATGTAGAGAGTATCTGCTGGACCATGCTTTTTGGAGAAGGGAAATGGTGCTGCCATATCATCTTCCCCTGGGGAAGGGCTCTTGTTATCCTTTAGATGTAGAGGACTGGAGAGGACACAGCCTGGTGGGTGGTTCTGCTGCACAGTCACGGGTGGGCAAAGCCGAGGGATTTTAAACATGGTGGCTGTTTCATCCTCTAGTTCCCTCTGTCTGTCCGTTCATGCACCTTGGCCTCCTAGGACACAGTGTGGCAAGAGGTGGATGGGTGCTGTAAATTGTGGATCATGTTCCCTTCTTGCTGAAAATGTTGCCACGTGTCAGGAAGAAAAAATGTCACAGAGGCATTAGCCAATCCTCGATGGGCCTAAGACACGAGACCACGTGGGCTGTCCTGAGCCCTGTCCCTGCAGTGTTTCTTCTGTTCACCACAGCGGTGTCAACCTCCCGCTGTCCTGTCTCATTTACCTATTTAATATGCATGTGGCTTATTTCCTATCTCAGGAGACTGGAACTTAGCTCCAAGAAATAAAAAATCGTGTGTCTGTTTTACTAAATATTCCCTAGCATTGGCTGACACATAGTAGGTGCTCAATAAATTATCATAAATTATACAAACCCATCAATTATATGGTAACACTGGCCCATATCAATCCAAAAAATAGTAGTTACTTCTAGTCTTCTGAGTGCATAAGTTTAGGAACATGGAACTCTTATTGACAAATAAGTATAAGTGACATATAAAGAAAAGCAAATGAGAATCTCATCTACATTTTTGAAAGCAATACTTTGTGCCTAAAAACAATGCAATAGTGTATATAAGATATTCAAGAAAAGAAACAGTGAGCTGTGAATCTCACATTCAGCAAAACTAACATTCAGGTGAAAAAGACCATGTCATGCCACAGTGTCATGCAAAACCTTAAGTGATATTATTTCCATGATCTCTTCCAGAGGAATGAACAAACTTCAGACAAAAAACTGCCTAGAAAGACATAAACATAAGATACATCACAAGTAGTAAATTTCCGGTTATTTGCACAACTAAGTCTAAATGAGTGCAATATGAGAGGGTGGGATCTTTCCGGTGGTCACTGGGGTGATTGCCTTATAATAAATTATTAAGATCCTTCTATGTTTGGGTGCTTTCCACATATCAATTTTATTTTGTATGAAAAGGTTTCAAAACAACTGTAATAGATAAATATTGTTTAATGATACAAAGCTCAGCATTAACTATAAAATATCACTAATGGATATCACTAATAGGAAATAGAATTAAATAGTAATGCAAATAGGAAATAAATTACATGTCATCTGGTGGTCTACTCTTCATCTGAGAACCCTGCCTCCGCATGCACCAGAGCTATGATGGTTACCAGGTGGCCTTTGGGAAAAAAAGGACAGAGTTAGATCTGAAGTAAGAACTTGGACCCTGCTGCTCCTAATGTTTTATCTCCCAGTGACAGAACTCAATTCTTCCTCATCTCTGCAGACTTGTCTCAGAACCTCATTACTTCACCTCTGCAGTAGGTAATGGGCTGTGGCTTTCCAGGGCCCCTTACCCAGCTTAAATTCTATCACTGTAGCCATGAAGGGATGCCTGTGTCATCCTGTCCCTGCCAGAGGCAGCCACTGTCCCCATGGCCTCCTGTGCATGGCACTGCCTTCCCTCTTCCATTTCCCTCCCTTATCCTATTTTCTCTCACATGGGAACATTGGTGGAAAGATCCAGGGCATACTGCCACCCACCCTAATTAATCAATTGATCAATTACTGATCAATCCAAAGCCGGGGGCCACCTGTCATAAGCCTAGGATTGCACTGGGTCCCATGGGAGAGAAGTAAGGCCAACATAATATGTCAAGCAAGGTTTGTTGACCTGAGATGATCTTAGGAACTTTGGAAGCACTTGATCTTCACAACAACCCCACAACTTCCCTAAGCAATACGAGGGGAGGAACACACTTTTTAGAAAATAGGGTAACTAAATTCCCTTAGTCTGCAAGTGAGCCAAGCAGGTGTTGCCACATTGATAAAGGGGACCCTCCAGGGTTCGCACTGAGCCAGGGGAGGGCTGGCAGGGAGGGGACCCAGCAGGCCTGACGACAGGGTGGGGTGGGAGCAGTGCTGTCTGGCTGGAGCAGGGGGACAGGGAGGAGCAGTGGCCTCTGTCCCTGCTGGCCTGAGGCTCTGTCCCGGTCCTGGTCTATTCCAGGAATTAGGTCACTGGAACTGTGAGAGGCAATGAGGGCAGCAAGCCCAGCAGCCCCTCACACAGCCTCTGGGGTCCCGCTGGAGAGTCTCAAGAGGTAGTGGGACACGGGCGTCTCCAATGGAAGCAAATCAAGATTTTATTCCTAGACCAGGAGTTGGCATTTGGGTGAGGAGTGGAGGCCAGAAATCTGCTCAAGATCGTGTTCTTCCCGCATGTCTCCGGGAAGCCAGGGTGTAGGTAGTAATCCCAGAGCAAGTGTTCTTTACCTCTCCTATCCCAGGGGTGTCTTTTCACCCACGGGTAGACAGGATAGAACATCAAGGTGCTACTGCAAGTCCTGAAGGTCCACAGGGAGGGGGTGGGCTTCTTACACCCCACCTGGCACACTAGGGGGTTCCCATAGTGCCGTGGGGGAGGTGTTTCACATTTTTCCAGTGTGGGTCAATAGTCAACATTCAAACCATAATCTCTTATGCACATCTCCCAAGAGTTGATGACCAATGAAAGATAAAGGCTTTCATGTTTGGCAGAAGCAGAAACTAGAAAAAATAGGTCTTTTAGGCAAGATTATCATTAACCAACAAAGCAAAAAAGAGGCTACAAATAGTATGCTCAATGCCAATAGACATAATAGCTCCTATTCTCATGTCATCACGATATGAAAAGAACACATATTTCTCTTTTTCTTGGGATTTCATGCCCCCAGCCTCAGCATCCAAAGCAGCAGAAGGAACCCAGCGCCCCCAGGAATCTTTCTCCTCGGGACATCGTGGCTCAAAGGAGATTCCCTACCTGGAGGGTCTTCCTCCTCATCACTGGAGGGGTACTGGATGCTGTATATCCACTCTGCAGAGACACGAACATGAGCAAGGATGTTATCCAAGGGAGCGCCATGCCCATCCCCTCCTACTCCAGGTGAGGTCACCTGGATGACACAGGATCACCCTGCTCTTTCCTCTGGCAACTCAGACCCTCCCTGGGCCCTGTGGAGTCAGAGGTCTTCAACAAGACAATGCTCACAGTTGCAAACCATCAGGCGAAAGGATCCCCTTTCGTCTTCTCAATTCCCCATTTCCACCGGATCATCACAGCTCTTAAGTCCACTCTCCTTAACCTGAAATTCTAACTCCCACACACTCTGTGAACTAGATGAGTTCAATAAACAGACGCTGTGCCAGGCTGCCCAAGAGCGCATGCTGTAAAGATGGAACTGCTCTCCAGAGTATACACACACCGTTATTGGACACTGGAAATGGGGCTGGTATAATGAAGTGGTGAATCTTTAAGTCTATTTATTTTAATGAGTTAAACCACAAACAGGCACATCTGTCTACTGACGACTGCACTGGGTAGTGCCGCTCTAGGATCCAAAGATGAGGAAAGCGCGACTCCCCTGCCTGGTGTGTCCTCGCAGAATAGTTGGCTGCTCTGATCCAGTCATTCACTGATGGGCACTTCCTGGGCACAGCGTCAGGGCCAGCCACTCTGCGAGGCCTGGGACGCTGCGACAGTGAGCACAGTGCGCAGGATCGGAGGGGTTTCCTGCAGAGGGTGCACTTTTAAACAGAGACCAGGAGCCTGGCCCTGCACACACTCCCTGGGCAGGATCAGAGCAGCCAGCACAGAGGGGCAGAGGGACACCTTGCTGTCCTCAGGAGCCCAACACCCTCGTCTCTCCTGACCCCCAGGTGTAGATTGGATTCATTTTAAAGGTTAATTGAGAAACGTGTAGCATGCAATGAACTGCAGACATGTAAAAGTTGACATTTTTTAATTTTTATAAATGCTTATCATTGTGCTACAATGATAATTGGATTTTTTTATTAAAAATGTGGACACTGGTCACTAGGATAACATATATCTGGGGAAACACTAAAACATGCAAAAAATACACACTCACACACTCTCAAAATCGAACCACTGGAGTCACACACAGACAGCCCACCCCACGCACACCACCCCGCACCACGTAGAGGGAACACAGCTGCTTCCGGGACTATTGACAGCGGCCGTGGTTCTTTGCAAAATCAATTTCTGTCATCACACTCCAATCCTCCTCTACAGCAGAGAGCTGGAATCAGGGCCTCCCCACAGGAAAGCCGACAGGGTAGTGCCCCTTTTCACCATCTAGTCATTCTTTAGCAAATGCGGGGTTCTAGAACACATACCTTTTCTCTTGACTCCTGAGACCACCTGTAATTACAGAAAAGGAATTAGCATGAGCACGAGACCATTCTGTGTCCTGTTTGCATGGGGCTTTTGTGCACTTGGTGACAGTAGAAAACCAGACGGGAGACAGTGGGGAAGGCAATGGACCCCAAAAGCAAGAACAGAGCAAACTTGCTCATGCCTAAAGTCACAGGCTTTCCTGTGGAGGATGTATCCCTCAAGCCCACTTTGATTGGCAATTCCAAAAACTTTTCCCAAAGAGATAAAAATGCTGCTGAGGAAAAATCTCACTAGAATATAGTCTGTAACCGATGCCATCATATTTTAATGACATCTTGAATCTTTGAATCAGGTATCAGCTGGCAATACGCTCTCAGTCAAAATTTCACCCACCAAGGAAAACACATAAGACATCTAGAATATCCATGTTCAGGTTGTCATATATTTTTTAATTGGAAAAGAAAGAAACCAAGAAAGGAACATTTTCACTTCAGACAAAGACAGGTAGGTGGCCTGACCTTGGACATAGATGTAATTACGTCTGCTCTGGTGCCAGCGAGCTCGTCCTGAGGGTCCTCGGGTGGAACTAAGAGACAGAGTGAATGTCAGTGCCTTGCAGGAGTCAGTCGTGGGTTATTAAGGGGACATTGCTTGGCGCGGGCACAGGATGAGAGAAAAGGCAAATGCATGGAACAGGACAGACTTGAGAAACAGAGCATGTGGTTGTCCAGCTGAAGGCCACCTAACCACCGTGCCAGAATCTATCTGTTTGTTAGTGTCAGAGTCTCAGGGCTCCTCCTGCCCATTGGGAAGCCAAGGTAAATGCCACCACCTTATTGACACCTTCCAAGATCCTGTCTTCCCCCAGGATCAACCCATGCTGCTACTGTCTAGATCATCTCTAGAAGATTTTCCACTGGCTACAAGCAATCTTTATTGGGTAACTGGATGCAATTCTAGGCAAAATATTCCATGATATTTATTTGCTAATCTTTTGTTACAAGGATAATTAAATGAAAATGATTTGAAAATACCAAACTCTCCTATAGTTTAGAGATAACTGCTACTAATCCTGTGATATTTTCCTTTCTGGATTCCTGTTCAATACATTGTGTGTGTCCATGGATCCACTGCACTGGGACAGTGCAGCGTGGGGGCCACACGTGGGGAGTGCTGGCCCTCTCTGGCCAGCTCTAGAAGACATTTACACCTAGGAAATCTCATGCAGGCACCAGGCTCACAACCACGTTGTCCTCTGCGTTCTTGTTTGGAAACGTCCTTGGAGTTTACACACTGCTGGATGTGAGCATTTCTAAGGCTCGTGATGATTATGTTATTCAATCCCAAATAGTATCTCTCTGCTGCTTCTCTGCTTTTGCCCACATGTTGAGAAATGGCCTCAGCACGGCCAGATGCTAACTTACACTGTCCTTTGTGGTGCCTCCCACTTCTCAGAAGCTGTCAGCTGGTCAGAATCCTGAGAGCTGTCCATGTGTGCTTCACATTGACAGCTGCACCCGAGTTTGCTGTAAAATGCACCTGTTGCTACCCTGGGTGATGTGACCACTAAGGCCACCTTATATGGATGGGCAGTGTTTGAGGTGTTTGTAGACTATAACACTTCCAGGTGTGCACTTGGAATCCCCTGCCATGTAGGCAAGGTACTGAACCCTACAGGCAAGTGATGACTTCTGTTCAGTGTCCCAGAGCACCAACATTGTGACCTGGAACTACGTTCCACTGGCCTCTGCTTAGATTAAGCTCTTGAGCCATTCACGTCTGCTCCATCTCCATAGAAGGGGGGACAATATGAAATCAACCTTCAAATGTGTCTTTGATGAGGGATGACTGAGTGGATTCATGTAAAGTGGGAGGGCATGTTGGGATTTTTTTTAAGAAAAGTGACATTTGTACTATGCTGTGCATGGAGGCACAACTCTTGGGAAATATGCACACTCAGAACCACACTGGTAATCAGTACACATAGGCTCACCCCTCGGTCCCTCCCAGTCTTCATGCACACGTGCCCATGCCATCTAATGACGCAGGTGTTGTAGGGACTCCAGTCGAGGGTCACAGTTTTTTCCTGGACCATCAGTTTCCTGCCCCACACCCCTAGTCCTTGTCCCCAGTAGGGGGCTGAAACAAGATGGCTCTACAGACAATAGCAAGTTAGTCCCACTTTTCTCATCACTTAGATTTTTCCACAGCCAGAGATTGACCCCATAATACGTACTATTGGTATTTGCCCTGGAGTCCACCTGCAAGTAGAGAAAGGAAAACACTATGAGGCTCAGGCCTTGCTGTCTTTTTCTGCAGAAGTCTTTTGCTCACTCGCTCAAAAAGCAGATGGGATCAGTGATTGAGGCAATGGTCCCAGAATAAAGCACAGAAGACACTTGTGCAAAAGCAGAAGGTTTCCATGAAGGATTTCTCAAGTCCATTTTGGTAAATGCAAAATTCCTTTTCGAGAAGGAAAATTACTACTGAGGAAAATGCCTGCTACCACACAGCTTGTAACTGATGTTGTCATTTATAAATGCCATCTTCAATCAGGTTCAGCTGCTAATAAATTCTCACTAGACATCCCCCCCACCAAGAAATTTTATGCGTCATTTATAATGTACATGGTCAGACTTTCATATCTTAATTCAAGTGAAAAAGAAAGAAACCAAGAAAAAGCATTTCTGTCCCTGACAAGGAAAGACCACCTTACCTTCACAAAAGACAGGGCCTCTTCTGAGTTCACACTGAACATCTCTTCTACCACACCCTCCGGGGACACTGAGGCAACACAGAGGAACTGTCAGCACATAGGTGTTGCTGCAGAATCACTCGGCGGGGGGGGGGGGGTCCTGGGGTGACGTGCACACAGGGCTGCAGTGTGTGCAGGTGTGTAGTTAACAGCACAGACCAAGCTGCTGCTGGGCTGCCCTCCTTGACAGTGCAGGGAGGCAAAGGAAAGCAGTCGGAAGGAGATGAAACAGAGCCTTCACTTTCCATCTGGGTCCTATGCATAAAAGGTCAAGTGTACGGTGTGAGTCCATGAACTTCACACCTCCAGGAGACCAGCCAGAGCCACTCCACAATCTGCAGTTGCTTATTAAGAAGAAACTCTTTATGGTTTAACATGGATGTCATGTTGGACATATAAAAATGGGAAGAGAGTGCCAGGGTCAGATGACATAAGCAGAGGGGTCTTCCAGCCTTTTGGTCTCTCACACTGGCCTTTAGTAAAATTTGGTAATGATTAGTAAGGGGAGTGGGTGAAAGCAAATGGAACATGACCATCTTTCCATCCTTCCATGGCCAGGAACTCTGAAATTTGCATATTTTAGCCAAAGGAGGGTCCATTAGTCTGCTCAAGGGGTTTAGGACTTTTAGTTCAGTCCTCAGTATCAATATAGGCTCAGTCATCGTATTACTAATAATAACACATGGACCACATCAATTAGGGACATGATTAAGAAAAGAAAGCCATGGGGTGAGGGTTCAGCTCATGAAAACTTTCTGTACACTCTGTTCAATTTATACATTAATCTAAAACCCTTCTACATAATATCTATTAATTTTTAAACATCTGGCAACACTTTTTTCAGGAAGAAATTCATTTCAGCTCATGTTTAAAAATGAGCCAAATTTCTGAATATTAGGTTGAGATGCAACACTGGTTTCTATTAAGTGTGCGAAAGCTTATGTTATAAATACATCTTTACTTCTGTAGTTGTATCACTAGTGATTGTCTTCATAATTATAAATTTGCACACAGTAAATAAAATATATAGTGTAACACGTTTAGAATTTAAATATGGGACGCTGAATAGATTTAATTACTATTCTTGAATGTACTTAATAATTTCATTTAAACAGTACCTTCATTTGGTTTGTTCCCAGGGTGTACTTTCTTTGGTGGCCACTTTTGGATTCTTTTGACCCACTCTCTGGAGCCAGCAGGTTTTCTTGTCCCTAGAAGAGAGAGTCTTTTTATACCCTGGAGGTGAGATCCAGAGAAATGTATTACAATAAAGACAGCTGTGGACATCTTGTTGGCAGAAGACTATAGAGAAATTAGAATAATTTATTCATAGGTTGAACTTTCAATCCCATTTTTCCACATCTGCTTGGCAAAGTCACCTGAACCAGAGTTGGGCTTTAGGATGATCTTGTAGTGTGGGTTGCACTGAAAACCCAACAGACTAATTGTGTAGGCAAATCCCTTTCTGTGGATCCAGCAATGTAGAAAAGCAGCAGGGCAGAGTGACCAAGAGCACAAGGGCTGGTGCCTGCTGGCCTGGGTTCGAATTCTCTTTACAATCTGCGTGCACCTGGGAAAGTTATAGAGACCCCTCTGTTCCTCAGTTCCCCGCTCTGAGATGTGGACATGTTAAGGCATCTAAAAATGATTAGATGCATGTAAAGCCTTAAGAAGACCGGTGCTCCATGAGCGCCCTACAATACTCGATCATCAAATGTGTGAAAGAATAAGCCAGACACTTGGTGGCGGTTGGACACAGAGAGGGAGCTTGGAGGGCTTCAGGGCAGGGCAGGCTGGAAGTTTCCTTCACCCTTTCCATGGCTGTGATGCTTTCCAGCTCATGGAGACCATCTGTGGTTTTCTGCGACACCCAACATCAGCCCTGAGAGATAAGAAGAGCAGGGGCTACAACCCATAACTTACAGTTTAGGAAAGCGAAATTTAGAGACATTTTAAGTGACTTTCCAGAGCCACAGCACTGATGAGTGGCGGATCTGGGACAAGAGTGTAGCTGGTTTTTGGGACACAGATCTCTGAACACCTGAGGCCTCTACACCACGCCCTGGAGTCAGAAGCGAGAGCTGTTCCCACGCGCTTTCTCACGTCCTGCCTCAAGGTTCCTGCAGAGAGGCTGATGCCCTGGAAGAGCTGGCTGAGTCGAGAGAAGGGCTCAGATCATAACTCAGCCTCTTCCCTCTAGGATTCTATCCCTGACCTAAAATGCGACAGTTTCCTGCAAACAAAGCCTGTCTGAAAGGCACGCCCCAATGTGTGGCCTCCTCCCCCAGCATCTTCATCTGTCAGCTGCCTTGGCGTGAGCCTTGCCATCGCCAGTTGGCCACTGCCGTGACCAGTGGTCACCTTGGCTCCCAAGATGGCTCAGAATCCTGGATGTTCCAAACCAACTGCCACATGGCGGCTATGCCAGGAACTAACTTCCCTTCAGCTGATCGAGCCTGGATGAGCAGTCCAACGGAATTAACTGGGAGTGTGGCCATCTGGGCGGGTGCCTCAGTGGTTTGACGAATGAAGTCTGTGACCCCCACTGTCTTGCTGACCTCTTACAGGAGCAACTGCCTGAGCAGCTTGGTTGGGAAGGAGCAGTAGCTGCACCAGCACAGAGCGTCACCTTCCCGCTCACACCTTTCCCCACCGAACGAATTCTTTACAAACTCCCCATCCCTCTCTCCATCTTATAGGGGTAGGGGCAGCATCCCATCTCCTCTTAGAGGGACCTGGCCATGGATACGAACTGGAGAACCCCACCCCAGGACCCTCCCTGAGGACCACACAGGCCCCCTTTCCATTTTTACCAAATGTCCTTTCCACGAACTCCTTGGCACTGTCCCTTCTCATCACTCTTCCTGGCAGCACTCAAATAGCCAGTGACCCTGTTCTTATCAACCCCTTAGATATCCCGCCATGAAATCTTAGTTTCTTTTCTTTTGAAAATCTCTGGTTTCAGAGTGTAATAAAGTTTGGTTTTGGATTCTGACACCTATATTCAGAAGAGTGTGGCCTTTAATTCCCCTTCCCTGTAGTGTCTCTTGCTGTATTGGGTGTCAGGATTCTCCAAATCTGATGAAGGTCGTGTGGATGTTTCCTTTCTGTGCCTATTCTCTGGAAGACTGTGTACAAAATTGGCATTAGGAAATAGTGCAGTTTCCTAAATTTAGGAAACTATTTAAAACAACTAACTTGATAGAAGAATCAACGCTATAAATTGAGAAATAAAAGTCTACCATACATCTATCAATCTGTACACAAAGTAGAGTAAGGAAAGGGAAAACAAATAACTGGCCTGTTTGAAGAAAGGACAATCAGAAGGTCAACGTGAGCATACCTGCCCAACAGGAATTCATGTTCCCCATGTTGAAGAACTCTGGACCAATGAACAAAGGGGAGATCAGTAGGACTGCTGTGAAGTATGAACTTCTCAGCTGAGACTAACGGTTGAAATGTTAGGGAGATATACATTACCCCATTACCATGGCGACAGGTCATCACAGAACTTCCAGAGTGACCAAAGGCCACCCAATGGAGTCCAACTGCTGCTATCTAACAAGTGTATTTTTACATGTGCAAGGGTATCATTTAAGAGTATATGGGGTTTTTTTTGTCAAAAACTAAATCTCAGACTCACACATTATTATCCTCTGTTTATGAAAACACATGAGCAAAAGTGACCAGCCCCTCAAATAAAGTTGATAGTGAAAATTTCAGGGTGAAGAAGGACAAAGATAAAATATTATTTTTATTTAAAAATAAAAATAAGTTCCATTCTTCATTGAAAATACCATCCCCATCCATTTATAGCATTTCTGACTCAACAGACATTTCTCAATCTAGTAATTTAAACATTGTGCCAGTAAGTAAAAAACACATTTTAACAATTCATTGTGCCTCCCTAAGACACATTAGTTGTCAAATGATATAAATCCTTACCTTATCACCTGTGTATATTTCCCTTGCTCTATGCAACTAAGACTATGTACTCACAGTTAACAAGCTCTATGAGCTCATTGAGCAATTTTTTTGTCATTGTATACTGCAAAGACTGGCTAACCACTGAGTAATTTTTTTTAAAAAAAGGATTGCCATACATTCACCAATTGGTTGGTGGAAAACATATAATTAATAATTTTCTAAATGGCGAGTTTTGGAAAACCTCAAGCTCCAGGATTGAGCCTGTGTTCTGGCTCATAAGTCAACCACCGGTCACACCCGTTCTTATGATTTGGTCATGAATATTGGGTACAGGAAGGGAATGGGAAAGCCCCCAAACCAAGGAACTAGTGAAATTATTAAGATAAAAAGATATTAAGATAAAAGAGTTGCCAGTTTCAAACAAAGTCATTGCCCTTCAAGATATGAAACTCTACAGTACAAACCTCCATCACTGCCAGTTCTTCCTAAATTTCTAGAACTAATAAATAAGTCACTGATGAGGTATGAAAACTGCATTAATATAGATGTTGCTAGATTTTCTCTAGGGATTATCCAGTTGAGGGGATGGTCGAGAGGGTGTGGGAAAGAACAGGGGGTGTTACATTGTTATAAACGGAAGATTTTTTTTTTTAATTTTTTTTTTGTATATATATTTTTAGTTGGTCAATTAATTTATTTCTATTTTTGGTAGAGACGGGGTCTCGCTCAGGCTGGTTTCGAACTTCTGACCTTGAGCAATCCACCCGCCTCGGCCTCCCAAAGTGCTAGGATTACAGGCGTGAGCCACCACGCCCGGCCTAAACGGAAGATTTTTAATGGTCCCCAGCTGGATAGAAAAATGTGTATATATGTGTGAGTGTTTTACATATACATATATATAGACATGCACACATGTAACACGGGTGTTTGTATATACAGATAGATATTACGTATAAGAGAGAGATCTTGGAATGCCAAATTGAGGGAGAAAATGAAAAAGAATTAGGGAACATATTAATAAATGAGAAACCATCTAATCAGAGTAACAGCATGTGAAAGGCAAAACCCAAGAGCAGTTCAGACTCCCATTGGCAGACAGCTGGTAGATTGAACAAGGGACTTTCCATCCTGCTGCCTCCTGAGTGTGCACGATGGATGAACGATAAATGAGTAAATGCAGGCAAAGCCCTTAGAAAGCTCTGTGGCAGTGCCAGCGCTATATGATTGCTCTTTAGTGCATCTGGAAGGAGGTGCAGACACTTTCACAGTTGTTACTTGTAGAGGCAGAACTTGGCAGGTTGCAGAAGAGGGAAGGGAGAAAACCCAGATTTAATGCACATCTCTTTGTACCTTTCGAATTCCCTACAAGTGTGTTATTCTTGTGAGATTATCTTTTGAGATTATCTTTTTGTTTCCTTCTTTATTTTTTCCAGCATATTATGGGGGTACAAATGTTAAGGTTATGTATATTTCCCTTGCCCTCCTCCACCCTGGAGTCAGAGCTTCAAGCGTGTCCATCCCCAGTTGGTGCGCATCACACTCATTATGTATGTATATGTCCATCCCCCCCACCTGCCCGACACCCAATAGATGTTGTTCCTATATGTCCACTTACGTGTTGATCAGTTAATACCAATTTGCTGGTGATTAGATTATCTTTAAAAGATGAATCCCCCTCAAAAATATAGTGGTATCAAACAACCATTTCATTTTGCTCATGGTTCTCAGGGATAGGGATTCAGACAACGGGCAGGGAGGAGGCTCTTTCCTGCTTGCCGATGTGTCTGGGAGCTGCAGAGAAGCCTTGCTGGCTGCGGTTGCATCTACAGAAAGGGGTTGCACTCACCTGGAGGTGACTTCACTCACAGGTCTGCACTGGAATTTGGGTTTGGCTGGGGGACCTAGAGGTGGCCTCCCCATGTGGCCTGGGCTTCCTGGCAGCAGAGAAGGCCCAGGGCACTCAGAGCTCTGATTTGGTGGCCAAGAGCGTCACAGGTGAGTGACCTGAGTGAGCCAGGCGGAGGTCCTTGGCCTTTTCAAACATTGCCTTGGAAGACACCCAGTATCACTTTCTGCCTGGGTTTAAATCCTGGCTCAGACATTTCCTAGGGAGCATTCTAACTTTCCTGTGACTCACTTTCCTCATCTGTAAAATGGGGATATAATAGCAGCTACTTCCTGGGCTTTTATGAAGACTAAGGTAGCCAGTGGGTGTGAATGACTGAAAACAAGATCTGGCACATAGCAGGCACTCAGGGCAGGCTACCTGTCATCACCAATACTCATTTACAGATGGGGACACTGAGGCTCAAAGGGGTGACTTCACTGATTAATTTCACGTAGCTCAGTCAGCGGTAGAGCCAGGCCAGTGGGGAGCCCTGGTCTGTCAGGTCTGAATCACAAGCCCCACGCTCCCGGAAGTTCCAGAACTGTCTGTCTACTACACAGGGCTCTGCCTCTGTGGGCAGTTCCTTTCCTGGGGTCAAATGAGGACTTACTCTTTCAGTCCCAGCGACACGAATGGATCACAGCCTGATTCCTGAGAAATCGCATCCAGGCCTCCAAAGCCATGTAAAGACTCTGCTCCAGCATTTATCACATCATGTGTCTTTTCTCATCATCTTCTCAACTGATAAAACAGCCCCCATATGTCACTAGTCTGCCGTGTCTGGGCCGTCCACGTGCACACATTGCCCCATTTAATCTGGACAGTGACCCCACAAGGGACATTGATTAGAACTATGCTATAAATCAAGAAACAGAAGCTCAGAGTACTGAAATCTTGTATCATCTCGCATCTCTTCTCTTGGGGGTCAGGAGTTTGGGGTCCGCTCACCTGCCCGGGCCTGGCTCGGGGCGACGGGCGAGGGTGCCGTCAGAGGCGGGCGTGACTGCGTCTCCACTCCCACCTCCAAGGCGGCTCACACACGCGGCCGACGAGCTGGCGCTGGCTGCCGACAGGAGTCCTCGGTGCCTCATCAGACGGGGTCTCTGCAGGCTGAGTGGCCTCGTGACGTGGGGGCCGGCTTCTCCCAGACCGAGAGACTCAGGAGACCAAGGGACAAGCTGCAGTGTCTTTCATGATGTACGTAGCCTTGAAACTCACGCGCTGTCACCTCCACCATATTCTATTGTCCACTCGGGTCAGCTCTTATTCACTTGGGAGGGGATTACACAGGACTTGGCTACATGTAGGCATGGATCACTGGGGTCATCTGCAAGACAGGCTGCCACTTCTGAGGACACCTGCTGCGTTCGGGGACAATGCTAGGCTCTGGCCACTAGCATCTCTCATGGAGTCGCTGGAGCCCATCCTCACTGGTCTCCTTCTCTGAAAAACACTTCGCACCCAGAACCATCAGAGATGCCCAGCACAGCGCTGCCTGTAGAACCTTCTGTAAGGGGGGGGATGCTCGTTGTATGTGCTGCCCACTAGTGAAGCCACAGGGAGCTATTGAGCACTTGAAACATGGCACATCCCACTGAGGAACTGAATTTTTAATTTCGTTTTATTTAAATTAATTTAAACTAACCACATGGCTAGCAGCTACCATATTGGACAGTGTAGCTCTACAGGGAAAAGCTGACCACCTCTCTCCATAGTTTCCAGCCCCTCATGGGTCCCCTGTGGCTTCTGAATCTAGTCCAGACTCCTGACAATGACCTACAAGATTCTGCATGGCCTGTGCCCTGTCCACCGCCTGGCTGTCGATGTGTCACACTGTTTACCTAGAGTTTGCCTAGGCCAGAGCATCTCAGGGCCTTTGTACCAGCTCTTTGCTCAGCCTGGAACACAGTTTCCCACTTCCCACTCCCCTCACAACTCCCAAATCCTGGGTCCCTGTCGGACTTCTGTGAAGGGGTCTCCGCCATTCTGTTCAGAAGCTTTGGGTCATGGCGTTGGGCTGTGACAGTGACAGAAGGTCCACATCGGCTGCCCCACCCACCAGAGATGTTCCCCAGGGATTCCCAAGGATAATGCACAAAGGTGGGCTCAGAGAGCTCAGGGACTGTGACCAACATGAAGAGGAAGGACCCTGCCATTCCCTCTGAGAATCCAGCCTTTTTAGTGTTGAAGGAAATGATCTGAGGAGGCAGCATGTTTAGTGGAAATGACATGGGACTTTGAATCAGACAGGCCTGAGGGAGACCCCATTCCTGCACCTCTCATCCGCTCCTGATCTCAGTTTTCATATCAATGAAATGGGGATATAGCACCTGTCTGGGGTGGGGTGGGGGGGTAACTGTAAGAGTTAGACATTGGAACCCAGAAGGAGCTCTGCACCTGTCGCTTATAGGATGGAGGGAAGGTTTATGTGGGCCAGATACTGTCATGATAACTCCACAGGT